CGAATTTTGCGCTTTAGTTATTTTCAATTTCTCTGCGTTTTAATAGTTCAACAATTATTATCAAATGTATGTAGTTTTTATGCTTGAAGTTCGGCTATAATAATAAATTTATTTATTACACTAAAATAATCAAACTTTCTCAGCTATGGAAAACAAATTGCTATTCTCATTTTATGCGTTATGTAATGAAATAATTATAAACACAATTAAAATGATTGAAAATATAAATTTTTAATGCATCACAAAAGTCTGTCTATCGAATAAATATATAATTTTAAATTAATTCAATTTAAGTGCATCTTATTTTTCTTATTGATACTTTTAAATATAGTTTTCCAGTTTTCAACTTTCAAGACAATAATAATAATAATAATTTTGGCAGTGTAGATTTATCACAAATCTGCACTTAAATCTTACTAAATTTAGGAGCCCTTTAATTCAAGCTACGTAATAAAATGCGTTATAGATTAAAATGGTAACATCTATTAAAGACTGTCTACCGTCCTACTATCTGATAAAAAATACTGTTAGATAAGCACGATGAGTTAACAAATACATCCACTAGAAGATAAAAAAAAATTCATAAAACTTAGAACTAGATTTTTAGTGTTTAGATTCTTGCCCTCCATTCTTTCTTTAACGTGTAAAGCAGTATAGAAAGATAATCAATTTTTATTTAAAATTATTTTTTTAATTGTTGCCTGCATTAGTTGATGGTGGTTACTCGCCTTAACATAAGAATCACAACTGATAATGTCTGTTTCAATATGCAGCTCGCAAATACCGTATTGACGATCACATTGTTTTTGTTGTATGATGTTTTCCATTTATTCATATGTCTACTCACGCTTTATGAACGAGTTTCGAGTAAAATGTTATTATCGTGTTACATTAATCTTTTAGTTTTATCTCTCTTATCCACTCCACTCAACAGTGAAGCGAACCTTTGAATTTCTGATAAAAATCCAAGCTGAACTTCTTTTATTTATCACTTATTTATTTATTTATTTGAATTTTAAATAATCAGTATTATTCTTTCACAACTTTTTAGCATGTAAAAATGATTACTTTCATTACAAATAATTTTCTTAGATGAACTTTGAATTACTTTTCCATATTTTATTGCAATTTCACAAAAATAGTGAGCTATGAGGGGCTATAATTTATTAAATTACGAAATTTTTCAGAGCCATTAACTAAATTAGGAGTAAAATCATTCTTCGGTCAATTTTATATTCAGGCATTTAACCTAACATGATAAAGCAAGATATGTAGGACATTTGTTCAGATTTTCTTGGAAAATACCAGGGTTTTAAGTAAGATTCGTTCGTGAATACCGTTTGAAATTTCGCATCTGCGTAAGATTGAGTGTGTGCACAGGCTGTTGGTACTCTTTGTGCTTATCCGACGCCACTTGCATTCACGGCATGAGCCTGTATGCTTTGTAGTATGAGATTAAGAAAATTGAATGCTTCATCGAATGTAAAATACGGCCAGTCACCTATTTTTAATAGCAAGAAACATGAAAGATACGGATATTCCTTGCTAGATATGTTAAATGTACGTTGATGATGCAATGCGTGACAGTAAAATGAGATACTCGATGATATTATTCAAGAAAAGTCAAGAACATATATGTGACGAATCCCACTGTGGGCGGTTTTGCGCAGGAAGTTGTGATCCAAATTTACACAAATAGGAGATTTGTGTAAATGGCACAAAGAGATGATACAGAAGTGAAAACGATCATGAATAACTGACTACCAATTACCTCACAGAACTCTGACGCTGCGACGACAGATTATTTTGAGTGTAAATTCCCAAAAATAAACGTTTTTTAGACAAGTTTTATCGGCTTTGTTTTTATTATAAAACGAACCTTCTTTAAAAATGTAATTTTCTAATATTAAAGAAAAATATCTCTAAAAATTCCAGTTTTAAACATTAAATTGTAAGGATTTATTTTATTCTAGCCAATTATTTTTAGTTTGACTTTCCTGTCCCTCCTGATTTCAGAATGTAAATTTGTGTATGTAAATTTTGTCTGACGTAGTATTCAAATTTAAACGTGTTTCTGAAGCAGTATTTAAGCTGCGTTTGAAGAGTTCAAAGGGTAGTAGCAGACTTAGCTCCGATGTTTATGCTGCGAGTCTGAAATTAGCTCTCTAGTCGGTGTCATATACCTTTCAAGTTTATACTGATATTTCTCGGCTTGGCTTTGCTGAGTGCTTTAGAGTTAGGTGAGCTAAGGAGCCAGTCATTAGATATTTTAATTTACTAGTGATTTGTTACATTCTTATTTTCTGTTAATTTTACGTAGCCACGAGTGGTGGTGATTTGTGAGCACGAAGTTCATGCATCTGTTTTAATTTAGCTTAAATAAAAAGGTTATTTAAACCTTTCTTCTGCAGTATTTATTCTTAAAGACATCGCGAGAATTCGCTACTTTGTCTTCGACGTAGAGTTATATGTTGCCATAGACTCTATAAAATAACAACTAAATAAATTACATTTCTTTATTATAGTTGAGTATTTATTTAATTGTTATTCTATTTATTATTATTTTACGGTTTCATGCAATATTTCATATAATTTAATAGATTGTTTTTGACGGCTTTGGAGCACTCAAAAATTTTACTTGAATAAACGGTTAAATTCCTCTTCGCTTTACGCTATTTTTGCATTAGAAAAGTTTTATAGCAATACACTACTTTTTTTCCTTAAAGCAAGGGGAAATATACCGTATACCATGGGATAAATTTATTTGAAATAACATCGTCAGACTAATATTAAATTTTCCCAAATTTTTAAAGTTTGATTCTTGTTTCTTAATATCTCAAGATTATATGAAGGTTTATTCCCCCAGAGTAGTTTTGTTACAGATTTCCTTAATTAAAAACGATTCCACGAACTTGAAGCGGAAATTACTTTTTCATTTGGAATTTATCATAAAAATTTAAGATAATTTAAAAAAACTCTTCATTTGTAATGGAATGTGTAATAAAATCAAATAGGATACGTATAAAATTCGGATTTAAACGAGGAGACTTTAAATTACATCAGCCTTCTCTGGTGTAAATTAATGATAATAATAATAACAAAAGATAAAGCTATTTAAATTCTTAAATGTTTTCTTCAAAATATTTGTTGAAATCTTAAACATTTTCTACGGTTCTGTATTAATTTGCAGAGAAATAATATTTTTCCCTTTAAAAACAATTCCACTAATACAAAGCCTTATCTTTTAAATATCCATAAGACTAAAACAGCTACCATGCAGAAAAAAAGATATCTGTAATCGGTGTTTATGCGGAAGGTCTCTCCTTTAATTATTAGGGTTTGTACGAAAGTCACCGACATTTTTATAACTAATGAGAAAAGTTAACATTTCCCTCTCACTGAAGAATGTGTACTTGTTTACGTGTATTTCCAAAGTAGTAATATCTATTAAAACCAGATTTCTTACTGTAACTACCCCTAGAAACATTTTTTTTTTACTTCCTTGTATGAAGTAAAGGAAATATTGTAATCGCGAAACATTTCGGGTATCATATTTCAATGAAAATATCTATTTTGACCTCTCTCGAATCTATTTTGATCTCTCTCGCATCTATTTGAACGATGTTTTAGTGTAGCATCCGTATATATGGACAGAATAAACGACTCTTTAAAAAAAATCTAATTTTAAAATGGATTCAGAAGAGATTTTTGTGACGTACGTACGTATGCATGTATCTCGCATAACTCTAAAACCGTAGAACGTTGAATTTTTGTATATGTGATTGCTATAACATCGAGTTATGCATCTCCCTTTTTTTGTTGCAATGGGTGGTCCCGGCTGGGAGAGCTCAGTTTTTATTCTTGTATGTTGCTAAATTGTGCATTTTTCCTGATTGAATTATGTTTTTCTTATGTTCTGGTTAAGGTTTTTATGCCTTTAGCAAATCTGCATGCAATAGTTTTAGAATTATTAACAATTTAAAAGTTTAAGTGCCTCTAGCTCTATTGTGGTGGCTATTTGTTTACATAATTTCTTAGTAGTATAGTGACTTGAGTTGGTGCGCCAATTTCACTGTCTTTTTACCACGTGGGACCAAAAGTTAACTTTAATTGTTTTGTTCCCCGAAAACTTTACCTTTCTGCCCGTTGGCCGACTAGCTTGTTTCGACGTACGCCAAACTACGTTTCTACGTAGAAAGTAGTAATTAGAGTTTCTGTATGGAAACTCTAATTTTAATTGCGAAAAGTGTTTTTTTAACTATTTTCGATTGTATTTGGTGTTTTAGGCTTCTTTGTATTTTACAATTTTTAATGAAGATCTTTTGAGTTTTTTTATAGTTTAACCTTGCCGCGAAGTGAGAACTGAATTGATTGAATATGAAAATCTCTAATTAAATTTCAGGAAATAAGTTTAAATGAAGTGCAGCAAAATGTATATATAATATAATAAATAGGCCGTTCAAGGAAGTCATGTGGTGTCCGCATCAGATTTTTTTTTCTAAAACTACTTCATCTTAATGATTTGTGTAATCGATTGTAACAAAACACGCAGTTGGTATTTGCCTTAGAGGAAGAATGCTTTCGTGAAGACTTTCTGAAAAGGAACAACGATATAAATTTATTCTTAATAATACTTAACAAAATGCGTCTGCAATCAGCTCTTTTGCCAGGATTAGAATTTGAATTTCCATCGTTTAACTGTTTTTTTACTCACCACCATCGCTTTGTAACCGTCTTCTTGTCAGTGATCTTACAAAATTACTGTTCATATTTGTATGCATTAAATCATTATTACAACTGCTAGTGATGAGAAGCCATTATCAAGTTCAGCGTTTTGAAAATTAAACCTTTGATGCCATTAATTAATGTTATCAAATTAAATCTTTGATTCTTTATCGCCGCATATTCGGCAGCTGTCTATCACTTAAACTTAAATCAAAAAGCTTATATTTGTTTAATATTTTTTTTTCAGTTTAATCATATTTTGTAATGTATTTTAGTAGAAAGACGAATTTTTCTGAGAAAATTGGACATTGGAACATCGGCCGATTTTCGGATAACAGAGGTAAAATTTACTTGATGAAATTTTAAATTGTTTCTATATTTATTATTTGGAGATTGTGTGTTGTATCGTATACTTTTCGGTTATTTTTTCATAATTAGATTTTGTATTATACATTACATGCTTATTATTTTTACGGGACTAAATTTTATTAAATATTAAGTATATAATAATAACAACAGGCGATTTTAATTGCTGTTCCTATAAAAAAGGAAACACAGGCTGAAGTCATGCAAGTCAAAAATACAACTTTACGATAATACTGATAAAACTCTTTTGATTTCAAGGAGACCAGGCAACTAAAGTTAATGCTCTTCGAGGAGTAAAAGTATCCTGAGATCTTTGCTTGAACCACTTTTGCTCTTTGAAGTAGAAAACCGAGGTTGTCTATAACTCCTTCGAAACTGATCAAGTTTTATAACAAAGTATCGCCACACTAAATTTAAAAAAACTAAATTTGACGTTTTGCCTAATTTGATTCCTAATACAAATTGGTGTATATTCTGATGAACCAAAATATTATGGCAAACCTTCTTTACATTATTTTGGCACGTGCAAGCCACCGTTATATTGATTCCTCAAGTTCTTCATCAGAGTTCGAGTTAAAATTATACCAGATTTTCAAGTACAGATCCCCGCAAATCTCGCCGATTAGTAGGAGAGGGTTTGAAATTTTGCCTATTTGCCACGTTATTTGTATATACACTGATCAGTAAAGCATTATGAAGAACCTACTAGTACAGTATTGTTTCAATGCATGCAAAACAGCTACAAACCACCTTGACATTCATTTTGGAAGTTCCTCATAAGTGGTTCAAGGAAAATTGTAATCGATTTGCAAGTACAGATCATCGCAATTCTCGTACAGTACTAATAGGGAGTTAGTAAGCTCAGCTGATACTTCATCAACGCAGAGCCCAGATATGTTCAATAAAATTTATATCTAGCGTAATATCTAAAATTAGAAGGCCTGTACATCAACTGTAATTTACCAGTATGCTCCTCAAATTATTTCCCTACAACTCCGGCCTTAAGACAACGAACATTTTCCTGCTGGAAAAAATCATTTTCGGCGGGGAAGATAGAAGCCATTAACTGGTCAACAGTAATGTTCACAAGATTCACAATTATTATGCTGTGTCCTACAACAGCCATTAGTCCAATGGATTGCCATGAGAATGGACTCGAAAAACTTATTATCCTCACCACCGACCTACTTATGTCCTGCACTTATATGTTGAGCAACAGTTTGCCTGAAAAACTACGAACCATGACACGGTTGTTGATGTGATGTTATGAAATCGAGGTACTGCTTGCTCAGGTTCACTTGACACATACATTATATTCAGCTATCCTTAGAATCATTGACAGCCTCTTATTTGCTTTCATCAAGGGGTCAGTCACTCATGTCTGCATTCGTAAATCAGGCTTGGACACCCAAAGCCTCGGCATCTGCATCGTCTTTCTTCTACGTTTCATAGCTAGTAACACAAGGAGCTCGGGAACACTTGAACAACAGTGCAGTTTGCAGTTGTCCCTTGTTATGGGGCTTTTACAATCTGACTTTTGTTTCAAGTCAGCAGCTTTCTCATAACATTGTAAGGATCTTAAGTTTTACTAACGTTTATTTTATTTTAAATCTTTACTATCACTTCTTATTTTCTACTTCCGGCCAGAATTATAAGCGTTAATGTATTTATGCAAAGTTTGTCTGGCGAACGCCAAGTACTTAAGTTGTGGCTTTTTGCCAAGCGAGGAAGAGGAAGCAGTTAGTCGAAGCAGGCCGCTTACCTTAGAAGTTTTTTACTCAGTTGCTGGTTGCCTTCCAGGCCAGAGGTTTAATCCTCTTGATAATTTTTAAACGTATTGTAGTGTTCACAGTTCTCTGTACTACATACGGCTTCCTGTTAATATAAGACCAATCTTCCACGTTTATTATTTTAAAGTTAAATTAGAGTTTAGTTTTATTTTTATATTCTTACGTTTAGACCACAAGTAGTGGGTCTTTGTATTCCGAAGTACGGAAAATTATTGTAAATAGAGAAAAATAAAGGGTTTTCTATACCCTTCTTGTGTATCCTGTCTACTTCCCACAGTCATTGAACATAGCTTTAGTAAGCTCTCTGTTCCGAGTCAGGTCCTTGCATGTTCCCGAAGAAAGTAAGACGGAACATTGAACCTGATAACATGCACACATGATTGACAAAATAATGCTTCAGTATCTCCGAAGCCGTTAAATAATATTCCCACTCTGTCACATATTGCCTACCACAGTACGGTGAGTTCATTTTCACCGTGTAGAGGGATAATGGTGATCAAGTTATGTTGAAGCCACAGCTTAAAAGCTAGTAGTCTAGTTAGTTCATGAAATGACTAGCCACTTCTAATTTCACCCAGCTTATGTGACCGAAATTTATAATAATTTTCAATGAAATATTTTAAACTTAGTCATTTTTATTAGCTGTAATGCTTTAACAGATGACTGCTCGACAGCCGCAGCATAAAGTATTGTTTTAAAAGTGGTAGCTAATATACTCATAATAAAGTTAAAAAATTTGTTTCAAATGTATGTCTATGTCAAAGAATTTATTTATGTTCTAATTCATGTTTTTGGAAAAGTCATATGGGATTACACTGCTTGCAATTAGTTTAAGGTATCTATTAATCTACTAATTATGGGTAAATAATTTTTTAGAAAAGCTTTTTACCAAAAATATGAGTATTTCAAATATTATCATAACTTTAGTAAATATTTTTCTGTTCTTTTCAGAGTCTTTTTTGCCAAGCTGTAGTGATGGTAAGTTATTTTTTCATTATCTTAAATGAGTTCTTTATGCCTGTTTTCTAAAAATAATGAGAAAATAGTTTTTCCTCTAACAACAAAAACTGGGGTTAATACAAACTGATAAAATCATTTACATAACTATAGGCTACCATTAATTTAAAAGAATCGTGTGATTAAGTTTCAGCTATATAGATGCCCTATAATATTCTTATGTAGAAACGCTTTAATTTTGAAAAAGTAGTAACAGATGTTGAAACTTTGTATCTGAAATATGCATTCGATGTTTCAGAGAAATAATTTACTTAAAACACTAAAATGGCGAACAGTAAGTTGGATCGAAATGTGCTTATTACACATGCTTTAATACTAAGACGACTCTAGAATCAACTCCTTAATGAGCCTGTAACTTCAGGTAGAGCCATTTTCGATCTTTACCGCTCAATCTCTTTTCTGTCTGAACATCTTGACCATAAACTGGTTGTTTTCTAGCGATAGAGATTCAGCTGAGAAAAAACGATTTACATAAAAGGACAGTTTCCCAAAAATGTCTTTTTTTATGTATTCCATTAACTTGTTTAAATAGGGCTTTAACTTCTTTATCTAAACAAGTCCTTTCTAACTGCTTTAAGAAAGACAATACATCTCAAAAAACAACCAACAGTGTTTATTAATGTTTTGCAGATGAACCAAAGTACTGCATTATTAGAGGTGATAAGGCAATAAGAATCAAAGATGTTCATAATTTTTAAGAACTAGTTTCAAAGGTTTAAATATAGAACCTCCTTCTTCAGTTGTAAACGTGCATGTGACGATCTGCTCAAGCGATAGCAACGAAAGGAAGAAAATCAAGCTACTGATGCCATCTACTGATAAAATGTGAAAACAACTATATCCTTAAAAGTATATAAATAATATCCTTAAAAATAATATCCTTAAAATAATATCCTTAAAAGCTGAGGGTAAACACGGATTGAAATTAGGATCTTTAATTGAACCTGAAAGATTTTTATAAATGTGAAACACCTCTAGAAAATTTAATTCAACAGCTTCAAAACTAGACGCCTTAACCCTTAACAATCGTTATTCGGCGTTTTATGTACTCCCCTTTTAATCATTTTTCCCTGCAATCAGCCTCTTAAATTCGGCTAGCATATTTGTGTTTCAGACTACTCGAAACAAAAACTTTGCTGACAAGACAATAATGCCTAACTAGGTAAAATCTCAACTGGAAATGTATTAATATCCTACATGAATGACGAGAAACTGATTTGAAACTTAAAGATGTGGTACTCGATGATAAATAAAATCTTATGATCAACATCAACATTTAGGTATGATCTGAGGTGCTAAACCCAAAAGGCTGAGATACATTTTGACTTCATTTACAAGAAGTAACGATACATTAGCCCAATCCCTTCTTACGAGCCCTTAGGTAGGTACACATCTGATTTGTTCACTTTATTCTATATACTAATTTCTATAATACCATAATTATCTGGCAATTTCATGTTATTTCATAACTTACTATGTTTTGTTTGTGGGTCAATTTCATTAAATTCTACATGTAACTTTTTGAGTAATCGTCATTTTTGTGATTTTTCCATAATTTAATGATAACCAGTGTATCTCATTGTAACTAATATCCCTTTTCAACATTATGGAAAACTAACTTTATTACTTATACGACGAAGTCAACAAAGCAATAAAAAGATGCTGATGATCATGCGCAAACGTGTAGGACACACTGGAATAGAATTTTAGAAGAAAAAATTTCCATCCGATTTATTGAATGTTTTATGTATTATTTTATACGATGGTCGCTGTAAGTCCACAATAGCTATTTATTATCTTTAAAAAAATTGAATATCTTTTGAATAAATATTAAAAATCATTTACTTAAACTACTCAAATAAAACATTTTTAAATTTTAAAAATAAACTTTTATGATATTTTAATTTCATAATTCGAACTCTTTGCATATTCATTGTTTAATAAATATGATTATAATGTATATATAATTAGAAACATATTCGAAGGAGATAAGATGAATTTTGCTCAGGGAAATTTTTAGAAGTCTTAACAAGCGAAATAAAGAAACATTTTTGCGAAAACATATACCTCTGCAAGCTAATCTCTGTGCTTTTAAAAGTTCGTAAATCTAAATTGAAAGTAAGTTCCTTAAAATGTATTTAATCTTCTTAATGTATTATACTGTCTTTTCAGATCCAACCACAATGCCTTACCTGTCTGGAATTTCTCTTTATCCTCCTCTAAGACTAAATCCTATTTTTAATCCCTTGGTGACGGAATATTACGCTAATGTCAGTTATGATCAGCTTATGGTGCGTCTATCCGCTCAAGCGCAGAATTGTCAAACTGAAGTTCGCATTGACGACAAATACGGACCTACCAGGTAAAAATAATTTATTCTCTTACTTATTATAAAGTTTAAAAAACGTTAAACTGTAAATTTATTTTATTAACAAACAAAGTTTAAAATTTCACTTTCTTATATTACTTAATATATACTCGGCCTCTCGGTTTAGTATACTGTTGCTACCATACATCTGGGCCAACTATTATTTAATATGGCGCCTTGATCCATGTGCCATTATTACTTAATGTGCCTATTTGTTCAGTATGGTTTGGCTACCATAGCGCTAGGCCCAAACTCAAATATCGGACGAAGCATGATGTTTTAAATATGCACTGCCTTTGCGATATGGGGACACTTTAAATAATGTTGAGCTGGATGGCATCTGAAGCGGATGAAAAGATAGGAAAAGAGGGGTAGGAAACTTTGCATCCGTCCCCCAATGTGTTCTGGATCAAAACTATTATGAAACTGAGCAAACTCGTACTATCACTTACAAGACGTTACTTTGCCAATAACAAGCGCAACTTTGTTCTTCCTTGCTATGATGAATTCTTGAATCTGATCTAAACTATATTCAGATGAGGATTAATTACGCTGCTTCTTCTGCAGGAGAAGATTTGTTTTATCCTTAAAAGCGTTTTCAATAAAATTACCCCAGTTACTAATAAAGATTAAAACAATGTAGACCGCATCTAGGACCAAATTAAGCCTTTTAAAGGTCCTAAGCAGTTTTGTGCCCCTACGTACATTTTCATCTCCCCACTTCTAATTCCTTCTCTCTCGATCTTCTTGTAGTTTCACCATGGATTCTATGGTAATACTGGCAATGGGAAATGTTTGTCCTGCCATCTTTATTATGTCCCTAAGTACCTTTTTGCGGTGCCTCTTTCCTTAATGTCCCAAGCACGTGTTTATTTTGTTTAATGGCTAGCTTAATAGCTCTGTGTTCGTCATATAATAGGAAAAAAGAAAACGAAAGTATGTACGCATATAAATACTGAATTTGAAACTGAAATCTGGTTGGATTATTTTCAGTGGATATGATTAGTTACTTAAATAAACTAAAAATGCATTTTCAAGACCAATAGCAACTAATAAATAATGTCTCAAAGAAGAATGATAGCATCCGAAATTGAAGAATCTGACATGAAGATAACTTTATTTAATCTGGCATTCTGTCTGAATAAAGTTACATCAACAGCAAAGAATATGCGTTATTCATTTATTACACTTTCATTTGAATATTTTGAAAACTAATTTCAAAGTTTCAGAAATTCTGGTTGCATTTTGGTATGTTTACCTCACCATTCCCAGCTGACATCAGTCTTAACTGTGAATTTGAAAGCAGAATTACTAGCAAGTACATAACATAAGGACAATTTAAATAAGTAAAATTTCATAAATTGTACCTATTTAGAAATATCTCACGAATATCTCTTATTCGAAATCTATTTTTAAAAGATATAATTCTGCGAGCGATGCCTTTTCTGTGTATGTTACGAAAAACGTTACAATTGTAATGTTGCGCGCTTCCAACCTGCACGCAACAATAGTGGTGACTGCTAAGAACTGGAAAGTAGACAAAGTCTTGAGAAGGGTTTAAATTCCTTTTTATTCAACTTTAGAAATTACAAATACGTGCTCTTGACGCTCACAAACTACGCCGACCCGGCGGTAAAATAAAAATAAGAAACTTAAAAAAAGAATAATAACAAGTGACTAACTAAGAGGCTCTCTACACGTAACTAACCTAACCGCGTTCTGAAATACCGCTGATAATTCAGCAAACTTCTGAATATTACGTTGAAAGATTCAACAATCTGCCGAGGCAAGCACACAGGCCGAAACGCGTGGTTTTTCAATTTCTAACTAGCCACTCCCACGCTCGTGAAGCAAGAAAGCACACTTTCGAACTCGTTTCCCTTCTATTTAACTCAGAATACTTCCGCTGACAATTTGAATCCTTGCGCGTTCTACTAAAATTTACATACTCTGGCATTGGCAATTCCAGGGGAAAGTAAGGCTTGACAGGAAAGATAGTTTAAACTTAAAATAAATGTTAGTTAAAATAAATATAAACCCTACCTAGTTGAAAGAAAAAAAATTAAATGAATATCTTGAGAAAACATTACTTAGTATACGAAATTATTTCTAATAAATATGTTTTAGCTGGAGAAACGATTCCTTATATTGCTTATTTTGCACTTAGAAATTTCAATACCATGAAGACCATCCATGATAATGCAAATCTTATAATCTTATAAATTTTTGAGCCTCTGGCTATCTGCTCAGTTGTTAGGATTTAATTTTCTTTGCTGAATTTTTGTATCAGAAAACTTATTTTTGCGTTTACTAATTATTAGTTTCCTGATTTTTTGCTTTGACTGATTATTTCAAGTGTAAAACAGTTACAAGTTTTTTTCTCTTTCTCCAAAGGACCACTAATTATACTTTAGGCGTCGGTGAAAATAGGATAACGTTCTTTGTGGTAGACATTACACATACAGAGCCATGGGTCATCAACACCTATACTTTAATAGTGCATCGTCTGGCTATCGTTCGTGGGGAGCCTCCTTTTGACCCTACATCTCAGCATCAAGTTTGCAGCTTGCACCAGGTATGGCATATTAATTTTACCATTTTTTTTTTCATGCAAACGTTATTTTTATGTTACATTTTAGTAATATAAATTAAAAGATTACGTATTGCTCTGGGATAAGGAATTTAATTCCACTGTGTTTCCTTAAATACCTGTATTAGTTGAGGGCAAAACTATCATTACTTATTAGGTTCTGTGTTCGACTTCGAAAACGCGCAGTATATTTTGCAAATATTTATCGTTCAAACTTCTTTTCCTATAACATTAAGTCAAATTTACAAAGTACTGAATTTGCTGTGCAATAAATTTAAAAACACCGCAATAGCTGTTCATAAGAATAAATAATTGTTTAATATCATCTTCATCTGAATTTGCGGCTTCCAACCAAAATTATATTTCTGCTGTATATTTCGGTAACAAAACACTTTTTCTCATTTTTCTAAACATCTAATCATTGGGAGAAAATTTCAAATTTTAATATCTGCGTTTGTCAAAAGGAATTTTTCATCAGCTTTCCAATAAAAGCTTCAGATCTCACCAATGGCCAAAAATTGTGGTATTTGAAATAAAATAAATTATTAGTCGATATTAAAATAATCAAAACAAGTGTATGTTGTTTATCGTTCATCATTTACTTAGTATACTTTGACTTAAGTAAATAGCATAACTGAATACGTATAAGCTACCTGTTTTGTCTGACATACTGTGAATATGTTATGCCTGTTTGAATCATGGGAACCACTAGCAAGTTATTCCAGAACGAGATTTAAAAAAATTAAGTTCAAATGTTTTTAGTAAAATTTATGACACTATTGTTATCTTTTACAAAGCGATAGTTTTAATGGCTCAATAAATAAGTTTTAGCTAACAAGAAATAGGCTTTCTTCTAAAGGAACGAATGAAAGATTCATTTCTCTATTATTCAGGTCTTAACTGTGTGTGTATTTAATTATGGCGAAGCACACGAGGGCTATCTGCCTAAGGGGTGGGGTGCCTTCGTGGAGGACTTTCTAAGGGGAACTGGCTCGTATACACGTTACACATGGGGAAAACCACGAAGACACCCATGCAGCCAGCCCGTTCGCGGGATTCGAACCTCGGACCGAACAGTGTTCAGAGACTTTATCGCTCGGCCGCTGGTGGGCTTCAGGTCTTAACTCGTTTCTGTTATTCAGATCTTAATATCTGTTTACTGTGGCCTGAAGTTAAATCTTTTAGCCAAAAATATTTCACATGTGATCATAATATCTTTTCTTAATTTTTCTGAAAATGTAAACGAAATTTAATGTTGAGAAATTCAGATTTGTGCATATTTCAAAGAATTTGTTTGTCTTTTTCTTTCAGTGAAAAACTGACATTCAATGACAAATTTAAATGATAAATTCAATGAAACGTTTTCAGTGATGGTTATAGTGTAAGGAATTTAAAACATTTTTCTCATGCACATCAATCACCGTGTGGTTAATACCGTTGAATACTGATAATTCTACCTGTCTTGTGTTCGATGCATACGAACGCGCTGTAGTTTTCGAGGATTTTCCCATGTGTAACGCGAATACGAGCCAGTTTTCCTTAGAAAATCGTTCACGAAACCATTCCTTCCCTTGGGCAGATAGCCCTCGTGGCTTTGCCATACTCAAATAAACTCCTCATTCACTTCTGTTGTGTAACATTCGGCGTATCGGTTCAGAAACCTGAAGATCCAGGTTCGATTCCCTGCAAAGACACGATTAATTTCTCAATATTATTGACATCTTGAATTCTGAATGTCAGTAATAAATGTAATATATATGTTACCGTGAAAGACCGAAATTGTAGAATGTCGACATTCACCGGAGAATGTCAACATTCACCAAATACGTCATTCGGACCCTCACCGGTGTATGCCGACAATCACAGATATGCTCTGGTGTAGGTCGAAAAGAGAGGAGTATATGTACACGCTGTCATTACAAAATAAAGTGTTCCACAAATAAATACAGTTGTAAAAGCAAGGGCCTCTTGTGCAATTCAAAGTGTCATAGTAGTTTAAGTTTGTGCAATAAATAAGATTTGAATCACATTATTTAGTAAATTTTTAACTTCTATTATTTTTCTTTCTGATTTTGAATGTACTATCTGCTTTAAGTTCTTATATTCTTAAGTTCTTATTTTAAGTCTCAAGTGCGTGTTTTCACGCCTGAATTACGGAGAAGAAAATATAATATTCTTATATATTCAACATTCACCATTAGTACATGGTGAATGTCGACATTTACCGGTGTATGTCAGAAATAAGAGTATTTGGAAAATATTTCTGACATACACCAAGCGACTACGTGAATGTTGATATTCACCGGTGAAAGTCGACATTCTCCAGATTTTTGTGTTTCACCGTAACATATATGCAACTTACAGATATATACACAGTTGGTAATCGAAATCTCCTGTCTATAAACTATAAGTTTCATAAAAATCTACTTTATCAATAAAGACCTGTTTTTTCCTTTTTAACGGTTCATACCTTACAGTAAGTTAATGAAGTATCATATCAAGTGTATTGCAATAATTGTTTTAACAAATTTATCAATATATCAGAATGTAAGTTGATTGTAATACTTGTTACTTGATCTACCATAAATGCTTTAAATAAATTCAGTGCAGCTGGCATGTTAAAAAAAATGTGTAGTACTGTACCATAAGTGATAAAATACTGATAATAACATGCTTATGTTAATATGTAATCAAATACTTACCTTATACACCTAAGCATTTCTTTACGTGTTGATTATAGATATAGAACTTTAAATAATTAAAGCGTACGACGTATAATATTTCATTTAATCTTAGCTTTTGGAAAAGAATTTTATCTTCCTGAATCACTAAAGCGTGGCGAACAATATGTTCCGTCTTAACTCCCCCCCCCCGTTTTTTTTTTTTTTTTTTTTTTTTTAATTTGTTTTTTGTAAGAGACCTCTTTCTTTACAGGAATGCGAAATGCGGGTCTCCCCCACTGAACTCTGCGGCATTCAAAGGGATGCGGGTGTCTCACGTGACTGGCTTTCTTATACCGCTGAAGTCGCCAGTATGCCCATCTGCCGCGAGGGAGATGCAACTGGTAAGATATATCTTATTTTGTCACTTACTTTTCCAAACTGTCATTAACCTACTGCTCTCACATCATATTTTTTATCATTCACATTTACAAAATATAGATGAATGGCATAAAACATCCGTTTTTGAGATAGCTTCAACAATTCAAGACTGTTCCATTACTTTAGGAAGTACTTTGAAGGTTTTACATGGATATTTACTACGCTTGGATGCATTAATTCGTCGGAATGACGGGGATTCTTTTAAACATTTTCAGAAAACAGTTAGCCTTGTTAAAACAGTACTTGTAAGAAAGTCAAAATGAAATATCATTAATAACGTACTAAAGGGCCCTTTAATATATCTTTGAATGGTTAAAGTGATTACAGTTGAGGAATGATTGAAAGAAGACTATAACTATCTATGAACTAAATTATTCGAGCATTAGCATTAGAGCGATAGAAAATGTTGAACATTTTTATTTGCTAGATTTGTATTTTATTTTCATGTATTTTCTTGAACTATCGCTGACTTCTATTCAAACAAGTTTTAAAGAGATCGGATAGCCAGTCGTACGAATAATCTATTTTTGGATAATAGAAGATGTACTGTATATTAATAATGACTTGAATTCGAGAGATGCCGGAGAGTGACTGATTAGACAAGATCGCTGAAATTAATACTTCGTTCCGGGTTTGGTTCCTAGTGAATGGGTTGGCTACATATGATTTTTGCAAACTTTTCCTATGTTCAACATGAACAGGAGTCAGTTTTTTCCTGATACACGTAGCTTCTGTGTGCTTTTCCATAACTGACTATGTAAATAAATTCTGCTTGGACGTTGATATAAGTATAGCCCTTCAAAATTAGTGAGGTGAGAAAAGAAGTTGAGGAAATAGATGGTGATGTGGAAAAATATCGAGCTGCTTTAACAACGGAAGCTTTTCATGGCCCTAAAGCTCTAATTATGGATCAAGATGGAACATGAAATCCGAAGTTTTATACACCTAACTGAATTCAATTTATTGCAAGGTATAGATAAGAAATAAATGCTTAAGCCTAACTAAGAATATATGTTTTAAAAATATAAATTCTCCGATATTTTTTTCTTTTTATTCATGTGAAGAATAAATTTGATGTCAAAATAAAGTACTTCATGCATGAATAAATTTTAAATTAGTTAAAATTAATACTTGAAAATTCAGTAAAAAAACAGGTTATCCAAAAACATCTGCTATCTGAATAATCCCCCTCCCAATTCCACTCAGTTTAGATAATCGAATCCATGCTGCATAAAGATAAAGGCAGGATTGCATATTAAAGTCATTGATTCACCACATAATGGTTTTATAATGAACTAACTTCGTATACTTATCAGAATGTAAGAATAGTACGGAAAAGTTTCATTCATATTGTCACTATTTGAGCTGTTTAAAATTAAATTTGCGATCCTGAAAAATCAAGCAGAATTTCGTTTGGGGTAATGTGCCCTTTCTTAATTCATATTAAAATATAAATGTTTCAGAATAGTTGCTATCTTAATATATCTTTAACTGAAATGCTTTGAAGTGATGTATTAAAACTGGTGGCCAGCATCACCTTTACAATTGATTTCGAACTCATTTCTGCTAGTGAAGAAAACATGTTACTTAGAAAACCGAAATTTTTAGTATGTTCTTATAGGATAAATATGTAGGATCTTATAAGGCGATCTAGTGAGTTAGATTTTTAATTAAATAGTAATTTCTCAATTCATAGTTTGTGCTCTCGCCTTGGTTCATATTCATGAAAATAGTTTGAGAACAAGCTTTTTTCTCGGTTAATTCTTACCTCGACTGAATGTTTCTCAGGTCGCTGGGTGTTGCCGTGTCGATCCTGCGCTGAAAGAAGCAGCTGTTTCTGGAGGGAAGCAGTTTGGCAACCATACGGCTGCAGACACGCCATTCTTTCCACGGAGCAGCTAAAACGGTGTCTAGCAGGGAAAAAGGTAATTCCTTTTCTGATATTATTTTCCTAAAAAACTGAAGAAAAGCTTGTTATGACTTATCTCATTGGTCTGACAGTAACATGAGATAAAGTCCATGAATTTTATTGTGATCAACAGATTAGAGTTTCACCAGCCATTGTCTTAGGCCCTGGGCAGCTTATAAGATGGCAGTGCGAGTTTACCTATCTTTCGTCTCTTTTGAAGGAGAATTTTTCAAAAGGAGGATCCAAAGCTCAACCATCCTTTTCCATTTTTACCAATTTCTCTTGAATATTTGAGTTCCCCCACTCTGCAACGGCACTATACCAGGTTTTCTCAAATTACCATATATGCACCTCTAAAGTCCCAATCACATTATGTTTCGGCTACGCGGGACTTGACATCGAAAGGGACAATTCTCAGAACCCGCACAATTGCAAGAAACCCGCGTAGCCAGGTTACCATTTTCACTTACTACAAAGACTTGAACGCCAAACACTAATCGATTATCGCTCAGATTGGGATCACGTGAGGCTTCAGAAGCAGAACTTTCGTCTGATTGGTTGTCTCTACCCGGGACTGAGGTCCAGCCGAGACATTTTCGGTGAGATTTGAAAAACTCCCGCGTAGCCGCAACATTGTTTTCCGTAGCTAGACTTCGCTTCAGGCGGGGCTCTTTTCTAGGAATCCTTCCGTTTAAACCAGTGCTACCAGAATCTCGTTTCTCAGAAAAGTCCCGTCTAGCAGGGACTGCAGCCATACGGGATAATCTCTTAATGGTACATTATATTATTTTAGATAGTTCAATTTTTAGCTAAAAGATTTAAATGTATGCAAAATGGCGCCTCTTTTAGTGCATATATTCGTACATAATGGTGCATATATTTTTGAATCTCATTTATATGGTACAAAATTTAAAATGTTTGAGAGATGTACATTTACAAACAGTCATGATTTTCTCGGAATTTGATTCGAGGTCCAAGACCTTGATAGCCGGTTCCCCCTACCACCATGCGACAGGGGGCCGAAAGTATTGCATTCCCCTTTTCGGTATATGCTTTCGCCATGTAAATGGATAGGGCGTCTACCTAGCAATTGAAAGATCAGTGTTTAAAATCCCAGCGAGAACACAGCTAATTTTAGCCATTTCGCTCTTGAAAAGCAAAGCCAAAATTTAGTCTCTGCAGTGGTGGCCGAACTAAATTTTCGTGGATGATAACACATCGCCAACTTAATTTTATTTATTGGGCCCTGTGTCTAACCCGATTTCTGTTTATGGCTGTAATTGTAAAGAATTATAGCATTCCCCAATGAACGCTCTTGTGGTGTAAGTAGTAGCTAGCAAGTGGAAAATATGTGGTTCGAATCCTGGAGACAATAAAATTGATTTCTCACGTTTTCCGCATCCAAAAGCGTAATAAGTGTCTACAAATTGTTAGACATTTAATGTTACTGACCTAAATTCTGATTAAAATCCACGAATCTTTTTATTCTCAGATATTTTACTCGGCCGGGCACTTACTTGAATAGCCGTATTTGTTGGGAATTTATTGCGAATTTATTGGTTAATTAGCTGCGTTTTTACAGACTACGTTGTTCAGAATGCACCACTGGGTGTAGGCCAATATTGCATCTACAAGAAGTGGTAAAACTATACACACAAACAGCCAAACTTGTTGTTGTTTATTTAGTTGAACTCACTATTTGGAATTCGTGTGAGCGATCAACCACTGCTAACTACTGTATCATATCCAGAGCAACATAGTCTTAGTTATTTTCTTCTTAAATTCTGAAAAGTCAATTGGCAAATTCCAAAGCACCTTCCAGGTATGTTAAAAGTTCCTGTCTCTCTGTATAATGGAAGAAAGTAAAAATATAAAGTTTCGAAGCCCTATCTGCTTGCAAAAGTGAGCCGCCTTTAATCAATAGTAAGAACAATTCGATAATGGAGCTTTCCGGAGAGAAAAAATTTAATTATTTCGAAATTAAAATTAACCTTTTTCTCATTTGATATTAAAGTGCATATATGAGCATGGAAAGCATACACAAAATTGTTTTAAACTATGCAGTTTACAACACTTTTCAACTCGATCTATATATACAATTTTTCTGAAAAACAAATACGTATTGATTTAAAAAACAAATACGTATTGATTTAAAAATAAAATACAACTTAATTGAAAACTATGCAGCTGTTTGGGTAATTGTTGTTTTCAGTCCACTACTTAAAATTTTTTTGTACATATATTTCGCTATTTCTCTTTTTCTACTTAATCGGATTTATTTATTTATGGATTGATAGACTTGAGATGGAATTAGCTACCAAAATAATAAGATTAAAAGCATATTTTAATATTCTAACTTTACATTTTATTTGCATTTAATTAATAATTATTGAGTTATATAGTAAAAAGAAAATGCAATGGTAATTTTGAAAAACGATTTATCCCGTTTTTAACGTTTCAGAACTTCTGGCTTCGCTGTTAAAAGAATAATCGATCAGTTTCACATTAATTATAATGTATTTTTAATTTTTTATGACTGTCTTTTGGATATTGTTTATGTTTCATTTCTCTTCCTTATAATTCTTGCATCTGCTGTGATTTTTTATCGATTTTTTGCATCTTTATACATGCACATACGAGCTCGTATGCATGCATATATATACGCACACTAATAAATGCATGCGTATATACATGCATTTATTTATATGCGCAGAAGTATTTGGTGAATGCAATAAGGGATCAAATGGTAACATAATTTTTTTTCTGAAAGTTTACTTGAAAGGTAAAAGTAAACATATAAATAGTGAAACGTTTTGGCTATTTTTCGTCACGTGAATCGAGATTCAGAAGACATCTTGTCGTTGCACCAGTTTTACACAGATGTCCCAATGAGTTCATCATTCGTTGGTTTTCCTATTTGTTTTTCAGATTCTCTGTGATCTACTGTGCAATTATTTTTGAAAATAATTTTTTGCACAAAATATCGCATACTATATTATTCGAAATTTTGAATATCTCTGCCAGTGTTCGCAGTCATTCTGAGTAGCTTACTGAATATTTCCGACAGTAGCTAGTGATAAAGCGGTTATAGAATCAACTGGAATGTAGCGAATAAGTTAATATGGCTTTCTTTTCAAAGAAACTGCACGAAACTGCATTTTTATCGATTCTTCTTCATAACGAATTCCCTGCGACTTTCTTTAATCCCTGCTCAGAATTAATTTAAAAGAAGGAATAAGTTTTGTTTATATAAAATCGAATATATTACATATCGTTTGATCATAAATATCATGACCCTGTGGTTGGAGTTCTGCTAGAACACTTAAACCTGCCCTGTAGAAGTGCTAGCTAGGAAATGGTAGTATAAGAAGTACAGTGAAAGCACACAGGAATGCTTTAAATAAATCTTTTTATAGTTTTTGCCTCTGTTAAGTGATGTTAAACCCTTATCGCTGTTTGATGTTCAATTTCTTTAATATGCTCAAATAAATAAATACGAAGTACTTACGCAATGGATTTCATCTATCTATCCTAATTTTAAAACAATCGATTTGCATACACCATTTATATCCAGCTTTTCGCTTTCCGCGATTAAACAGAATGGCATTTGTTTTTATGTACGCAAATGGAAATCATATTTGTGGCATTTATCTTTAAATAAGTATTCGTGTAATCAAAGGGTAAGAAGGAAATAAAAAATTTTTAAGGATTGCTACGAATTACAAGATCTTAAGAAGAAAAAATGTATATATTTCAAGAAAAGTTTAGCTCCTAAGAACATAAGTGATAATTAAGAAAGAAAATTAAACACTTTCAATAATATACTGCTGTTAGTTCTCTTTTGTAGACGAAAATGCCTTACTTTCGATCGTCACTGGAAGCGAAATACAGTCAAATGGCTGTTTTGAAACATAAAATTCTATATATCCTGCTTCATTTTAAGATTTCTTACAGCTTTTTCTCATGCAATTCAGTCGTAATTCATCGTTTAATATTAGGCTGCTCACATTCCAGTAGATTGCTCGCTAATTAAAGACTCGATAGAAATAATCTATCGACTAGCTTGAACAAAAGCTGTTTTAACTCTTGCAAGATGAATTAATTTGATGTATCTGTGTTTCTGGTTCTCTGTCTTTAGTTGCTGTTCATTGGAGATTCAACTAACCGCGGCATGATGCATTACGTCATCGAAAGACTGAATGGTACTCTCAGTGAATGGGATAAGACGCATGACATCCGAGTGTATACAAATGTCAACAACGGTAGGACAGCGGTCAGCTTCGCTTATTATCCCCAGTTTTGGCTACCAACTAATCAAAGACCGGTTTTCGACAAAGCGTTGTATCATCTTATTCAAAAGTAAGCAATGTTTCAGCTTAATTTCATAATCCATTTTATTTGTTAATAAACTTCTGCAACGAAGGTATTACTTTAGCTTTTCTGTAATGTAGGTACTTTCAAAAGGTACGCGCGATAAATTTTATTTAATGCATTCAAGCAATCTAACAGTGGTGACATCTTTTTTCTAGACTTCGAAAGGGTTGTATTGTTTATAGTTAATGCAAAATCTTGTGCTGCCAAAATAAAACACTTAAACACGATCATGCCTTGAATACTGATGAATTGTTGAATGTTGCCACTGAGCGAAAAATAAGACCTTCAGTTCATTTTCCTCGCGCCTTCGTGAATTAGCAGATTTTCATAGTACATATTGTGGTTAGACAAAAACATAGCATCTTAAATTTATATTTTTAATGTATTCCATCCGTTATTGATCAGCAAATTGAGAGCTATAAAAGTAATAACCACATAATTATAAATAATTTAAATCTTTATTTTACGTTTTTATTATCTATAATTGATATAAATTAAAAAATACTTAATGATATAGATGATTTATAAATTTTTGTAAGCATTTGCAGCTTTGTTGTAATTAATGAAAGCTCTTTCTAACATCCTATGTCACATAAACTATAACAGAATTAGTGGCATGTTTTCATGTTGTTTTACTTTTTAATATTTTTCAGTTCTCTGAAACTTTTAACAGTAAACACTTCTTTGAATTATTAATCTGGAATTTAAGATTTCAACTCCCCCCCTCCCCGCCATATCGGCCAATGCTCACTTTTGTAAAAAGTCAGTCATTTTATTTGCGCCTTTCTTGAACAGTACAGTACACAAACAAGTGTTTGATAACAGCGTATAAAAATAACTTAAAATGTTTCACACTTTCTGGGACATATGTATGTAAAAGGAAAAAAAATTTTTTTTGAAAATATGCTCCATGTTTTGCAAAATATTGCAAAAGAACAAGATTTTGTACATTCATTCATGAAGACTGAATCATTCATGAAGACTGAATCATTCATGAAGACTGAATCATTCATGAAGACTGAATCATTCATGAAGACTGAATCATTCATGAAGACTGAATCATTCATGAAGACTGAATCATTCATGAAGACTTAGTGTAACCTACAAAATGATTAAGATATTAGAAATTTTTCAGGTAACATCCACGTTTCCAATAGTTGAACTTCATAAACATAACGTTCCATATAATCGCAACATGCTAAATAAAATTTAGCATAGTTTCTGTAAATCTAATAAATGATATTTAAAAATGAGTTTTCTGTATACTATTAAAATGTGTCCGTGTCTGTTTGTTTGCTTGTTTGTTTGTGACATCATCTCCTCCGAAAACTGCGGGGAGTTGAATTTGGAGAGAGATACACTGGAATTCTAAAAGTTCGTCGGAAGCCATGTCGTCCATTCTTCATCTTCGTACGACTTTAATCAGCCAAGATATTAATTGCAAACACTAAAAACGCTAATTTTCGCTCTCATTTTTCCGAGTGGCAGCAGTCTTGTGTGCTGGAGTTAAAAATCTGCTTTATTTCAAAATGCGTTGCCACTACTCGCTTTCAAATCGTACAGTTCGTTATTAAAATATTTGTATTTCTACAAAATGTGAAATAAAAATATCATTCCCAAACTCTAAATGTATTGTTATTATATAACGTCATATTCTGACGTTGTAGAAAGCACACGATTGCATGTGACGTCATAGTATATCTGAAAATGGTGCGTTAATGTCAGTATTTTAAGTAAATATTTGCAACTTTTTTGTTATAGGTTACGAAAATCGACATGATGTGTTATTGCCAAGTTAATTCTTTTATTGATATTGCGAAAATGTTGTTACATTACATTAAATTAAATCATAACGTCATACTTGAAGTGTCAAATGTACCAACCAAAATGAAGTTTTCCTGGTTTGGCAACAAAATATTTATTTACGAATTTGTAGCCGCTTGGAAAGAATGAACTGATTTCATTCACACTGAGATGTTTGTACACATTTTCTTTTCAGGTGTACACAGAACTTAAAAATTTTGCTTTGGCCGCAGCTCGATACTATATATTACTATAATTCGTACAAATAAAAAGAAATTTCCTAAACTGATACTGGAGTAATACTAAAGTGAGACTGAAGAATGTATTATTCTGACTCCTCTCAGTATTGCATTAAGATGCCGCAAAGTTAAATTCCTTGACATTTGCAGATCAACCAGCTCATTTGATACTAAATCCCTCAAAGCCTACTCAAAGAACAGAAAAATTTCAAACTAAAATATTTCTAAAATATTACTTGAATTCGAACATGCTTGCTAGTTTATTTCATATAAATTAATCACCGACGTAGCACACTTAGTGACAGGGAATTATTTCGAACACTGATTGTGAGTGTAATAGACTTCTAAGAAGGAAAAAAAACATTCAAATAGTTTCTGCTAATTACTTAGCGTTGCCTTTTATGAGGCAAGACAAAGTATTTGATTACTAAACTGTATAGGAGGGTTGCTATTTATCTTTCTGGACTAATAATGAAAAAACAAATGTTTAGAATCGAAATTGGTTTTCATTTTTTTTTTCAAAATATTCTCCAAGAAAATCAATACACTTTTGCATGCGTTTAAACCAATTTTTGAAGCACTTTTCCCACTCCGATTGGGGTAACTTTAAAACATGCGTTTCGAATGCCTCAGCCGTCTCTTCGACTGTCGCAAATCGCTGACCATGTAATTTAGTTTTGATATGCGAAAATAAAAAAAAAATGGTCATTGAGTGCCAAATCAGGGCTGTACGGCGGATAACCCATCAATTCGATGTTTTTGCCCGTCAAAAATTCCTTTGTTTGAGATGATGTGTGAGAGCTCGCAATGTCATGATAAAGAATGATAAGCCTTTTATGTCAATAATATGCTTTTTTCAAATTTCTTCGATGACTTCTGGCAAACAAATGGTCGTGTACCATCCGGAATTGACCGCTCTGCGTTGCCTTAACGCCACTGTCATCACGTGACCGGTAATGCAAAGACACAGGCAACCATTTGCTTCGATGTGCTTCTTCCGATCACATCTTTTGTTGGATTTGGCTAGTCTTGGAAGACTCATACAGTCGACTGCTTTTTTCAAATTTCTTCGATGACTTTTGGCAAACAAATGGTCGTGTACCATCCGGAATTGACCGCTCTGTGTTGCCTTAACGCCGATGTCATCACGTGACTGGTAATGCAAAGACACAGGCAACCATTAGCTTCGATGTGCTTCTTCCGCTCACATCTTTTGTTGGATTTGGCTCGTCTTGGAAGACTCATACAGTCGACTGCTTTTTTCAAATTTCTTCGATGACTTTTGGCAAACAAATGGTGGTGTACCATCCGGAATTGACCGCTCTGCGTTGCCTTAACGCCACTGTCATCACGTGACCGGTAATGCAAAGACACAGGCAACCATTTGCTTCGATGTGCTTCTTCCGCTCACATCTTTTGTTGGATTTGGCTCGTCTTGGAAGACTCATACAGTCGACTGCTGTTTTATTTCGTGCTCATATGCGTAGATCCATGGTTCATCACCTGTGTAGATGTTATACCCAGCCTCTGATGCACCTTGAACTTATTTTTCCAACATTTCCTTACTCCAATCAAAACGAACTTTCTTTTGAGTGTTTGTCAGATTATGCGGGATCCAACGCGAGCAAATCTTTTTTACAGCCACATGTTCATGCAATAGCTTATTGATGCTTGTCATACTAATGTCCAAAGATGTCTCAATTTCACGGTATATCGCATGACAATGTTGCTTTATCAGTTCATGCACAGCATTAATATTTTCTGGCAGGACGACCTTCACGGAATTCGTCCTAGAGCGAACGTCGACCGCGACTGAATTTATTATCCCAGTTTTTTACAGTACTGATCCACGTCGAAAGTTATGAAAAATTATCGCTCGAAAATGTACACGAGTCAATTCCTTTTTTTGCCCAAGATGAATTTTTCAGTTTACTGTAAAGAAAACAATTAATGCTAAAATGGCAAAACGTTCTGAAGAAGTTATGGTTAAAACTATCCAACTTTCGATTGGAATCATCTGCGGTCACCTGGCAACACTTACTGTTGTCAAGGCCAGAAATGTAAATAGCGACTTTCGTATTTTCCAACCGAATTTGCTCATAATAATTTAATAGGTTACAGATTAACAAATGTTAATAAGAAGGTTGTTTTGTTTGGTTTGGTTTATTTTAATTATGGCAAAGCTTAGAGGACTATCTGCCTATGAATAAGAAGGACTGTAATAAAATAAGAATAATTTTTGTGTACTGAAAGTAAAACATGAATATATGAGTTTATTAACATAATAAATTAAACGTCCTTATATTTCACTTAATAAATTTTATTTTAATATGCTTTGATCATTCATTTTGAACTTTGAAAGTTGTTTTTTCCAAACTAAAAGTTTCTTCATATTGCAAATTTTATAGCTAAATATTTTCAAACTTCGTTTTTGCTATTCTTTCTCAAATTGACTGACTATTAAGGATATATAAACCCCCTGTAATATGTTATAAGCTTATTTTCTGTTCTTACTTCAGGTCTCGTCCTCTGGAGAATAACACCAATACTGTCCTGATTGTAGGTGGAGTACAGTGGTTGGCAACTCAACACCTACTAATGATGCTTCGAGCATTGAGGGTGTAAGTATTAAGTACTCCCTTTCAAACAATTCAGGAACTAAAATAATTTTAACAGTTCTCATTTTATTTCATCACTTCAGTGTTCGAAAAGAAATTTTTATCTTATGTTATAATATTATAAATTATGTCAATAATACCTTTAATCTACGTTTAGATATATATATATATATATTACATGCTTCGAGCATTGAGCATAAAAGAGACAAAGACGTAGCCGTGTTGTTTGGCGTAGAACATAGATACATACTGAAAAGAAAGAATTCTGATAGTGTAGAATATTAAATCCTTAATGACTAGGAAACCTGGCAGTCGAGACGCATTAAATTTCATTTTATTTAAATTGTCATTTGTGGCGACTATGCACTTGGCACTCTAATCGTGCCTATTTTCAGAACATTTACATTTTTTAATGCTTTTGCGATAGGAAGAGAGCATAACGAAATTGCGTCAAAGAAGCACCCAGAAAGAAGTTAAAGGGCGCAGTTATCCAACATGGAAGCTCCTCAAAAGGCAGAATCTCTACCACCTCCACATTTACGTATATCAAAACTGAATCTGTTGTGAAAATACGCCTAATACAGCGTTCTTAAAGGTCTAACTGGAGGTATTGGTATCTCCAAATAATGGAAAACGCGAGATAAATAGCTGCTTACCCCTATCAGACATCTTCCGTCACCTCTCACGTGTGTATTAAAGAAATGTAGAACAGCGTGGGCAACATGTGGTGTCGCGTTGTCCTACTGAAAAGTGAGATGACTGGGGCTCAAAGCTATGCCACCGATGCGGACATTAAAACCTTATTCATGTAACGCTACTGTCCTATTAAACCGAATATATACCACTTTGAAGCATATTAGAAGTTATTTATTATGACATCGGAGCCTCTAGAGATGCTTGAAGGCGATAAACTGTAAGATTATAAAATTTTTAACTTTTAAAACTTTTGTGGTGACCAAAAAAAAGAGTAGCATGCTACAGTATTCCATTTCATGTAGTTTCAATGAGTATAATAAAATCTTTCAAATCGTCGCAACCGAATTCTTCGAAAATTTAATTTTTTTTTAAATCATTGCCTCTAATTCATATTTAGTGAAAGAACGCTTTTCTTTTGATATTGCAATACCGCTGCCTAAATGTTGCTAGAATTCAATAAGCATATTTTGAAGTTGAAACAGAACAAGAAAAATGACAATTACCAACCGAGTAAAAAATAAAAGCGGAGCCGAAATCGAAACCAGAACACATACGATTCATATGGCATACGAAACTCGGAAACAAAAACGCTCTAAGCTGGAAATGTAATATACGTATTTACATGAATTGCATGAACAAGAGAAGGAAACTCGAGAGAGATTTTAAGTTAATTTTTTTTAGAACAGTTAATGTAACGATGCAAAGAAATGCTATAAACAAAAGTAGTTTTCATAAGAAGTAGCCAAAATACAAAGCTGCAGGGAAACGCAAGTTTTATTTTTTACTGCTTCCAAACATGCACACTGCACATCCCTGTGGTAACAGAGATGGGTTGCGTTTTTCTCCATGTGTAACTAAGCAAGAACTAGTTTTTAGTTATAAAATAAATATTAATCACTGTTTTAGAATTTATACAGATAAGAAATCTCTGCCACGAAAAGGTAACCATAATAATATGGCACTGACTCCGGCAATAATGAAAATATGAACGTCATTTTTCCGATGCAATGTGTACAGAAAAGAACAAGATGGCAAAATAATGTTGGAATAATGCTTTAGATGGCTACAAAAAGTCGCCGGACTGACAGATGTCAAAAAACAGACAGACGCAGCAAACAAAAAGATAGGAGCTAAGATCTCCTCCAAGGAGCGTTACACCAGTACTGAAAGCGGGCTACTTTCTCGTGACACCCTGTATAATATGAAATTTAATTTTGTGTTATGCAATGAAGAAACACTGAAATTTCAATAAACATATCATTAAAATATCTCGGGACTTTAAGACATTTTCTATACGTAATAATCATTCGATTGGAAACTAATTTACAAATTAAAATGCAAGGTACTCCTCATTGGTTCATTGACTACCATTTCCTTTACTTTCAGAGAGCGATTGCAAGGCATAAGATTGGTCATGAAGACCCTTGGTGCCGGATTCCACTTGCCAGTTGAAGGAGTTCATACACTATCCATGGTAATTTTCATTTTAATTCATTACAACAAAACAGCAAATTTGGTTACAATATTCTTGAACTTCCGTGATCCTACTAAAAATTACGTGGTTGTGAACAATGCATTTCTTTTCTTAATTTAATTATTGTTTATGTGTTTGTAAAACTTATTCATTCATTTGTTTATTTCGATTTCTTAAATAAAAATAGGCATTAAATTTAGAAAAGTGAGTTCTGGAAAAGTTGAGGTAATAGAAGTTGAGAATGATCAAAAAGGATGTACCTTTTAAAGAAATATTTAAAAAATATCTTTCTGTGCATATAAAATTATTTAACATTTTAAATTTCAATTACGAATTAAATATAACACAGAATTGTATTCGTGTCCATAACTGATAACATAAATCACAAACTTATACGTAAATTTTACGCATAAAATTCGCTTTTTCTTTACTTTATGTGAATCGTACAGGAGGGTTAGCTATAATTCTAATAATTAGCATTTTTCTTAAGTGATATTACACATATAAAACACAGTCTAAATATGCAGTCTTATATTTTTTCCCAAAAATACTTCATGATTTGCTTTACAGGGAATAAATCCAAATCGACATAGTCTATAGTTCTGAAACTTTCACAGAACTTGTACTACTCGATATTTTTTATATTTTAATCAACTTATGTATGAACTATGAATTTATAATTAATTCTGAAACTAACCAAAAAAATCAAAATGACCTTACCAATCATGCGAAATCACCTTTCAAATCTTTCGCATGCTGATTTAGTTTTCCGATATCATTTCAGGATGAGCAAAGAAAATTGTTGCTGCACAGCATGGGCTTGGCAGATTTTGCGAAACATTACAACTTCGAAGTGATCGACACTTTCAATATTACAGTGCCAAGGTATAAAGACTTTCTTCAGGGAAAATGCGCCTGCCACTTTCACCGAGTAAGTCCGCCTTAAGTCATATCTTTTTCTGATGCTTTTACATGCAAATCTTCTTTCTGCCGTCCCCCCTTCCAAAAAAATCAATTCTCAAACAAATTTACTGCATCTTGCTTGCTCGCATATTTAAAATCTTTGCGAAATTGTTTTCTTACCGCTCTACGGCTTTACATTTTGAAATTCGATAGATAATTTAGATCAGCTTTAAGATGTTTAAAGAAGTTTTCCTTAATGTGTTAACAACGGGCGCTCTCCAAAATATCCAGCAAAGCCGGAAAGATGCCAAAAAATTTCCTAAATGTCAAATACTACTATTTTCTTATAAAAATCCTTTTATTAAAATAAAATATGTAACATTATCTAATAAAGTCTTACGTAAAAATGTATAATATAATAAGCATTTATAATTCATATGAAAAGACTTGAATGAAATAAAAGTTCCAACGTATTATTTCTTTAAAAAAATTTTTTGTGTGTGTTTAGTAGGAGCAAACATTTATGTGCTTTACAATAATTTAGTTTTAAGATGTAGTAGGTGCTCAAATATTCAGTCATTAAAAAGACATTTAGTAAAACATCCTGGTGAAAAAAGTTTAAAAAATTATAAAAAAAATTCCCTCTTTTTTTCTTGGATTTAATTTCTTCCCTGGTATTCACTTTTTTATTTATGGTTGTAGCAATAATAGGCAAAGACTCGAATAATGACTGAAGTACTTATTCACTTAAATATACCCAGTGTATGTGATTAAGTCATGGAAACGCTTAATTTTCCTAGAATTTCGATGCACATTTCAGATTTTTTAAGTCGCATACTTTTTCTCTCTAAATTCTATTCTAGCCTTTATAAATGTATTATTAGAAGTTTAAATTGTTAAATATAGCTTTCTATACTCTTTGAGCTTTTCAAAGAAGGTTTGTTTAACAAAATACTAGTTATAAATTATTTATCTTATTGGATCCCATTATTCGCTTCGGTACTTATGCATGAATGCAACCACCTTCGTTGAAGTCCCCAAAATTTCAGAATCTGGCAACCATGCTTATAACAATCCCTCAGTCAAGCAATGCCACCATTTTTGTATACGTTCTTTTTTTATTGTAGCCAATGTTCCGACAGTTATTATAAACAAATCGTAGTATTTTTGCCTTTTGTGGATTTTGCGAAAAATGGAAGAAACTGCGGTAAAATTTGTGCAGAAATACAGAATTTCGCTGAAAATTTTCTAAAAGGAACAACCTGATGCAATTCTCTGATGACTATTAAGCGAAAACAGATCGCTGTGTACTTCGAAATAAGAATAGCGAAAAAAATATTGCAAAAAGATTTGAAGAAGAATGTAAGAGTTTTATTTTTTATTTATCATATAATCCTCATTTAATAACTCAAATTTGTATTTTGTATTACTAAAGTAAGTTTTTCCATATGTTGATAATGTTTACCGACTTACGATATATATCGATTGATTGGAAAACTTTCTAAAAAAAAAAAAAAAAGCGCGAAAACCATCAGCTTGCAACCGATGAGTAACTTTTACCTTTCCCCGATGAGTAACTTTTACCTTTCCATTCGTAAAACATCGCCAAAGTGGTTGCGTTAATAAGTAAGTACCTTCGCTTCATGTTATTTCTAGTCCATGATTTAAAATAAGAATTATTTCTCCTAAAAAAAAAAGGTTTGCGTTGTTCTTCTAAACACGCTGAGCGTGTATTTGGTTAAAATTGAAGCAAATAAAACAATTTACTTAAATAACTTGCTCTAATAGTTAATAATAACGAATGCTAATTCTTGAAATTTATGGAAGACATCACATATTTTTTACATTTGTTTTAATGCATTTACCTCCATACTGTGCTAGAGTATTTATTCTTACAAACAATTTTTTTTTTTTTTTTTTTTTTTTTTGTTTCAGGTTGTAAAAATTCCGTCTGCCGATGAAACTTTTCCAAGGTGGCGAACAAGAAGAAATGGTGGTGGGGCCCACAAAACTCGATTCCACGTTGAAGGACCTATTAACGCCATTTATAGTGAAATTTTGCTCAGTCGGATCTGCTCCGAATTTTACACGAACACGTGATTATTCCAGCAAATGCCTCAACGATTGCGGATTAACCGCATTCAGTTCCAGTTTCGTCTTTCCTGAGGAAAGCCAGTGTACGTTGAATACGTAACGTGACATTTCGTAACACTTTTCTTATGAATAAGACAACATGGAAGAGTGTTTTCCATAAACTTGTAACTCAGTGAAGGTGTTAAGTTGGAGAAAGGTCATGGGCGCCAAATATGTATTCATTCCCAGAATCGCGTAGGTGACATATATATAGCCCTTGCTGCAATTCCTCAATCATCATCATAATAGAGTATTTGAAGAGACAAAATTCAGACTAAATTTTAACCATCTTAATTTATTATGTTTCACATTATCTTCCGGGCTCTTAGCAAAGAGCTCGGGTTATTCACTTTTGTAAATAATGCAAGAAAGATCCTTCTTTTCATTATTTTGTATTTTTATACGTATTTTAATGCGAATGTCGAACGCACAGAAATGACATGGGAATATGTTAGTTTTCTTTTGCAGAGAGAGAAAGAGATGGAATTAAGTATGCAGGACCAAATACCCCATAAATCGATGTAAAATTTCCGTATAACTCAAAAGTTTACATTCCTTTCATATTACTACTGCAATTTTAGTTTTCTAGCAACTATTTGTTTCTTTTCATAAGTTTGTTTCTTAATCTCTTTATGTTAAGATACTCGTATACGCTACAACTGTACATTGTATAATTTGAAAAATCTGCTGCTTTAAAATTACGCAGAATAACAACGCTATTTTGGTATAGATTATGAAAAAAACTGTATCAAACTTTATTCAAAAATCTACGCCAAAATAAAATTGCTGTTTTGCCTAAACTTATAGTTTATATTTGCGTGTTTCTCTTGCAATTTGAAAGAAGATGTTACTATTCTTTACTCTGGAACTACTCTTAAACACGCCGTCGGTTGGTGACAAATTTCTCGCGAAATAATTTTGGCGAGAAACTCCATGGCGCTATATTACTATCTAAATTTTTTGTTTACATTTCGAACTTTAAGCCTAAAATGTCTGCAAAAACGCGGTTTTCGCACGTGCAAAACACATTTTAACACACAATTTACGCCAAAAATCCGAAACAAAAACAAAAAATTTAGGTAGCAAAAACGTAAAGTTTCTAACCAAAAATATTTGACAAGAATCAATGTACACAGCCATCTATTTTTAACTTTAAAAAAAAATCGCAGAACTGCACAATCTATGCAGCACAGGAATTACGCACATCTCGCTAAAATAAACTAACATAACAACAATAAATTTCAAACAATATCATGTACACAGCGTTTTGTTTTAACTTAAAAAAACATCAGCGAATTGCGCAATCTAGGCATTGCGCACAAATCAACAAAATAAACTAAAATAAATTACAAACAATTCAAAAAACAACAATGACGACAGAAATTAATAGCAAAAGAAATGAACATAACATTCTACAAAACAAGAACAACAATAAAATAAAATGAATTTACCATTGTGATTGCTTCTTCCAACAGCAGAAATATAAATTTCAAGGGTAAAAGTATAGTTTAGGGTAATCCTGGATTGGCGGTACAGGATACGAGTTTTGCAATCATTTTGGCTTGCGAAGCGGCGATTTTTGCGGCAAAAATCGCCGCTACACAAAGCCAAAATAACAAGACAAACAATTGCACTAACTCGGTATCCATGTAGACATCGACCTATGTTCATTTAAAAAAAATCCCCGAACTGCACAAAAATGGCATTGCGCACTCCGTTGACTTTATCCATGTACACGTCGACCTATTTTCACTTAAAAAGATATCCCAGATTTGCACAAACTTGCATTACGCACTCCCTTTACTTTGTTCATGTACAAATCGATATATTTTCACTTAACAAGTAAAAATTCAATTCTACAATATAGGCAAACAAAAAATATATAATCTCAATAAAATACATTTTAAACCAAACAATAAAATAACATAAAAAAGGAAAAACATGTTATAGATTTAAGCACTAGCAAAAGCAAATGTTCACTTACCCTATTTAGAAGTTCCTTCGTCTTTAGTCTGTGGCGCACAAAATTCCTTAACAGCACCCAAAAACCTCCTAAAATTATCTGAACTCTTATGCGTATATCGGCGTCGCCACATAAATTCACAAAAATAAGAGTCAAAAATATCCTGCGTAGTTCCCGACTGTCGATGACACCTTTTCCGAAAATCTCTCTTAACCACACTTCCGTCTTGGTGATTTTCGAGTTCGCTTTGTGCATCCAGAGCCACGTAAAAATCAAAATATCAGTCATACTCAAATGACTTTTTTCAACCAGGTATCCTTTGATAAACGCTTCACATAGTGACCATCTGAACCTTTCTTCTACTAACCCATTCAATCCATCTAACGGTTTTTTACGTTCGACTAGACGCATTCCTTTACATATAGGACACTTAAATGTACTAAGTAACCTCATTTACACAGCACTCAATTAACGCTCTTTTCCCCTTTCGCTCCAAATCGTACATAAACTTCAAATTAATCTTACTACATTCAGCCATTCTACCGTCTAAACAATCAATCAAACCAACACACACCACAAAAACGCTTGCTTGCAAAACATCCCATGATTCAAAATTTCCCAGAATCATGCACCCGATTACGTCACGATAGGATTTCCATGACATTAAACTACTCAGGCTACCATAAATGAAACAACTTCGCCATAATACAAGGGGTACCTCAACGTCTACTCTATTTCAAGCATCAGCAAAACTCATCAATTTCCACCGCTTTATCCTTCCACCCTATCTTCTGAGACACAGAGCATACAAAGTCCAGCATACATTCGTGAATAAAATCGGCATAAACATACCCAACAACTCCACATCGTGCCTTTTAATACTAAATTTACCTTGCCCACAATCCAAAATAAGCGACTGAAATTTTGCCACCACGTCTTTCATTGCTACATAAGCCATTTCAAAACGCCCACCAAACTAACAAACCACTCCAGCAAAATAAAGTTTCAACGTCAAAAAGGGTTGCCATACAAACAACATCGCGCCAAAAACCATCGCTGAACACACAATCGCTCTAAAAACTAGCGCAGAGCACATATCGTCACATTTGGCGGCGGCATGCATCTGAGGGCGTATATAAGAGTAGTAGTTTTACTTTTTTCACAAAGTTATAATATCAGTATTTAGAGAGTTTATCTTAAGTCATTATATTTTTAATTACGATTTTTTTACAGTCCGACAACTTTGAATTCAGTTGGCGTGAACTTAAGAATGAGCAGCTCTGCTTAATGGAGATTGGTGATTAAAAGTTAATTCAGGTGCTGCCAATTATAAAAATAGAAGATACATAAATATACTTAATATTTTCAAAGTATTTTTCCATCACAAGCATATATGTCTAGCGGACTTAACTTTTGCAAAATGCGCAGCTGTTAGCAGTTATATAGCAGTTAGCTGGCAAATCTAAAAAATGCTGAATGAACGAGTCTGTGAAAAAAGCAGCTTTGTTCGTTGGTTGTTTTCAAAGTTGCCGGGCAAGGTCTCAGAATTTTTTGAAGTTTGTTAAAATTTTACATGTGCCAATAATGTAATTTTTTTTATTTAAATAATGGGGAAAAGGGATGTAAGAAATATCCCAAAACGCAAGAATGAATTGCAACAAAATGGGTGATATGGGTGCTAAAAGTTAAGTTGCTTTATAAGTAGTGTATAAAAATTTACATAGTTTGACGCTTCTTGCGACATACTTTCAGTTATTGTTAGTAATGCACATACAACCTGACGTGCGAATATATAAATTGTTATCGCGTGTGTATCTATGATATTACTAGACATACCGTAAAGCAAAACTTGTGGCAAAATATAGCTTCTTTGTTTCATGCCTTTGCTGAGCGCTTTTATAGCGTTTAAAGTAACAAGCTGTGGACGGATTCGCAGTCTTTCAATTTGAAAGCTGCCAGCTATATACGCAGATAAAAAGTTTCATATATATAATATGTTCAATTACATTCTAAGCTTGGGCAGTCTTGTTATTTGCCCCGCTCTTCATTCCGCAGATACTCCTTTATAGAAAGTAATATAAAACCCATTTTAGAGATCATAACTTTCTTTTAATACTAAGCCTTAAAATACATATCTTTCGCAGCTTCATGGCGAGTTTGCTTGTAACCTTGTTCACACGACGAAGTCTTAGATATTGAAAGTTTCGTATCGCATAAATCAGTTGTGAGAATCGTGCGCACCGGCATTTAGTTCCTTGAGTGTGTGTCTGGAAGTTGTCTGTGGTAAATAAGATTTAAATAATCCTAGCCATGTATGTCTGAAAAGGAAAGTGTTTATATGTCGTGGTCGGTAGATTAGGTAATTTCTGGAATTTATTAGCAGCTTCGAAATCCCTTCCCTTTTCTGCATGGCTTTCAAAACCTCTGTGAACATTTCACAATATGCTTCTCGAATTATTATTTTGATTCAGCTACAAGAAGTTAAATCTGTAAGAATAATATCTGAAATAAACTCATGATAATAATAAACAAACAAAAAAAAATCTGAACTGTTTCAGATTTTAACGTCGCCCAAAGGAGTTTGTTAAGGTTTTTTACACTCTCGCTGGACTCGCAGTGTACCAGTCTGCTATTGCACTCGCTCCTTCTGTCGCACTTTTCTTTGTGTTTGTCTTTTTAGCTTTATTTTTAAGTATCGTTTTCTTCGCATCTACGCCACATACAGTTCAGCAACAAGATCCCGAAAACAGTATAGCAGCATATTTTTAGAATTCCCGATGCAGTGTTAAGTGTAGGCATACATTTTTATATTTTTAGTCCAAAGGGATTTGAATCCCGAAGGACTATTAGTTTCGTTTTGGCATTTTGCGTCGGACGGATAAATGTTGGTTCACTTTTCAAACTGTTGCCATAAAATGTTAGAGTCCTGCATTATATTTGAAGAAATTAAATAATGAAAATCTGCGTAAATGTATGTATATTTTTCTCACATTGTCATAAATAACGGTACATAGAGTCATCGAATTTTGAATAACGTAATCCTCCAACGAATATTAGCATGTGGAAGACCAAATTTGAAATTTGTTTTTTATGATCGATTTCCTATTTTTTAAAACTTTGACGAATTTTTGATTAACAACTCAAGGATTTCAAAGCGAGCAATGGCAAACGTTGTGAAGAAAAAAAACATTTTTATCTCCAGCGCGTGAGTCTCTGTATCGGAAATTCTAAAGATATGCTCGTTTTAAACTATTTGCGATATTGCTGTTGCACTGATCTTATGGTTTAAGTGCGAGGAACATGATATTTAATAAAGAAAGGTAACACACAAAATGTTAAAAAACGCACCTTTGGACGTAATTTAAAATCTGAAACATTTCAGATTTTTTTTTTTTAGTCTTTTCTCGGTTTATCATATCAATATTCGATTTCAAAGATGGCTAGCAAAAAAATTTTTGTCTTTTTCTTATTAACTTTTTATGTGTTAACTTTATTTATTAAATTCCACGTACTTCATACTTACGCTACATAAAACTCAATTCAAGAGCAAAATCACAAAATATTTAAAAACAGTATATCATTAGAATTTCCGACAGAGTGTTAGAGGTTGACATATGTATTTTTATATTCGCTATTTGATATACTTAAAACCTAGCCGCCTTAGTTATCATAAAAAAGAAAACTTATATGATGATTTTAATGAGTCCAGCTTATTTGGTGGCAACAATTTGAAAAGTGACACGCCGTGTATAGTGAACCAGCGCAAAATCTCATTTGGAGACTAATAGTCGCTTTTGGGCTAAAACAAGTACAAAAACATCAACTGAGATAAATATTTTAGCTTCTGTACGGGTAAAAGGCATATATTTTAAAATATTTGAGCTGATTAGTTGAAACTTTTGTGTTTAATATGCCTCTGAAAAGTCGTCCCACAGTAAATAATTCCTGCCATTGAATTAGTTCCAATTTTAAAAAAAAGTGTTCTGTGTTCTACAATAGTTTTCATTTAGTTATAATTTTTATTTCAAACTTAGCGATGGTACTTCCAAGTTGTTCTAAAACTTTTCTTAATATCAAAACTTTATTCAAGAAATATTTTCTCATTGACAGCAGTTTAAAAGTTCGGTTACATAGTTTGTGAATAAATAATATAAAAATATATTTATGATTTTTTTTTCTTTAGTAAAATAATTCAGTACTTTCCCGTTGATCAGTTTCGACAAGTAAAAACTGTCGCCCTGCCGTGTGATTTAGCGCCAGCTATGGATAAGCATGACTTCGCTCTCATAAGATCCTCGCTTTGGTTTATTATAACCCAAATTAGGAAACCTTAGTGGACGATATTTTCATTCGTCTGTATGCTGCACATC